GCCGGCATTGCTTATTTTCGCGTCTAGAAATTTTCGGTCAATTTATCACTAAAACAGATGCGAAGTTTAAATTGGAACTGGTAACTAGAAACTTGTCCTCATTCCGGGCATTCAGTCGGATAAATAAAGACGAGTTGTCCAGCAATGCACCGAAATATACTGATATTAAAATTATGTGGTCGAGTGCGTTGAAAGTGACGGAAAGTCGGAAATCTAACTCCGGAAAAACAAGGTCGGAACCAGGGCGCTTATATATATATATATAATGACAACGACAATTTAATCTGATTCAGTACATACATACATACATACATACATACATATATATATATATACATACATACATACATACATATATATACATACATATATACATACATACATATATATACATACATATATATACATACATACATATATATACATACATATATATACATACATACATACATACATACATATATATATATATATATATATATATATATATATTAACAGAGAATCCTTGCCGACATTTTCAACCTTGGCACAGCCACAGACCTCTATCTCTACGACCGTTAGCATGCATGTCTAAAACACCCGATACTCTTTCCTAAAGCATATCAAGACAAGTTTTCATCTTAAATTATCTCAGTCTATGACAAGATTCGCGTCTCTAATGTAAATTCTGCGATTAAAATTTAGTAATATTCATGCAGTATTAGAACTTAACCAATACAACAGTAGTGTCAGAATAGCATTGTATACTCGAACTTCCAAGCGGGAAAAAACTGTTCGAGTTAGCGGAGGTTCGAGTTAGTATATGATGATAATTAATAAGTACCCGTACGCAAAGTTACAGCCTGACTGAGCGAGATTCTGGCCAGTATCTGGCCATAAACCAATTAAAGCAGTGGTAATTGAGCAAGACACAACCAGACATTGGTTTTGTCTCGCTGCCTGTTACGAACGAGACATTTGTATCGCTTGTTTATGGTCGAGAATTTGGCCTGAATGAGCGTGACATCGCAAGACAAATTGTCTCGCTCAAACGAGACAATTGTCACGCTGCTTTTACAGCGAAACATGGACGATAATATAGCGAGGCAGAGCGAGACAAGCAACAGAAATTCCTTTGCGTGCCATGAAAATGTGAGATTATTATCATATCCGGCGAAAATTGAAAGAAACTGAGCACGACAAGAGCGTTACGTTAAAAATTTAATTTGTTTTGTCTCGGATGACAAGGCGCGCAATTTGAGTTGGTTTTATTTTGCTGTACACACGCATCGCCTTCAAGCAGCGAACCATACACGGTCGGTCGAACAAGGGAAAAGTTGCGGATTTTCAACAATGATCATCGTTATATATTGCACTGTATTCTCGGTAATTCTTCAGCCAGGCGACGCTGAAGTCAAATGATAGTGTCCCTCGCAAAGTTTCTGTGCGACTTTGAGATTCAAGGCGTTGGCAATATATGCATTGGATCGAGACAGTCTTCAAGTTTCTTCTAAATGTAAGTAATTAATCTCAACGTTTACCTGTTCTGTACAGTTTTGCCCGTGATACCGCAATACATAATTTACTTTAAATGTAATTATTAAGGCCCAAACAGACCGAACGCGATTCGACAACGCGACGCGACTTTTCAGATTTTAAAAACAAATAAAACCGTCAACGGATAAAAATTTTACAAGATATGCAGACCAAATAGCTAAAATTGCTTAAGTGGTTAAGAATATTTGAAAAGCATAGAAAAATAGTAAAGGTTTAATAAATGTCATTGAAAATTCGCGTCGCGTTGCCGAATCGCGCCCGGTGTCCCAGCTGATTTGGACCCCCGTAGATTTGGACCCCCGGTCCATATCCACTAGTAGATATGGACCCCCCGGTCCAACTCTCCTAGCAGATATGGACCCCCGGGGGTCCAAATCTACTAGTAAATACGGACCCCCGTTGGCGGATTTGGACCCCCTTCAAAAGTTAAATATATGTAATGTGAACACAATAATATAAACCAAATTAATAATGGCGATCAATCTGAAGTATTTTATCATAGAAAAATAGAATACAGTGTGACTAAAATCTATCTATAGTCTTTACCAATAACCGGAATCACTGTTTAACAAAAGCGATAGAAATTGCATATGGCATTTGGGTCGACACGAAACACGATTTTCATGAATGTTTTTGAACAATCAAAGTGGTGGTGACTCATCTAAATGGAAGCCTGCGACCATCCACTAATAATTTTTAACAAAAACCATAGAAATAGCATAGAAATAGCAAGGCCATTCCATGAATATTTTTAAACAATAAGTGATGTTTGTGAGTCTTTGCTAATGGTTTTTTAACAAAAGCCATAGAAATAGCATATTAGACCAACGTTGTGTGGTTGATAAGTAGGTCCGGGTATCTGAAAACTAATGAATTTAACATATTCACCTTTATTGGGGTTGTTTTTAGTGTATAAAACTGTTTAAAAAAGGGGGTCCATATCCGCTAAAAGGGGTCCATATCTGCTAGGTGATTTGGACCGGGGGGTCCAAATCTACTGGGGGGTCCAAATCCGCTGTGACACCGGTCTGTTTGGGCCTTTACGCTTTTAAAACCATGCATTGCGAACAATCTTTTTATAGGTATAAAAACTTTAGATGTTTATATGTTTTAACAGAAATTTGCTGGAATAGAAAGGCCTACAAAATATTCAAGGCCGAAATTAAAATCCTATTTTCATATTTGTCATATATAATGCAATGGCGAAATTAAGTCTGAAACGCGGCCCGAATAGTGACTTAGGCCTAGCTTTCAACCCTGTTGTCTTTAATATTTTAGCTGCCGCTTGCGGACAAATTGACCGTTTACATGAGTCGCTCGCGACGTCCATCTCAAAGCCGCAGCTTATTTTCGCCCATATAAATGCCCCTAGTGTCAATGTAGATTAGTTAAAACAAGTCGATAACGCTTTTAGTACTGATAAGCAAAAGCTCGTTGCAATAGCGTGATGTTCTTTCAATCTTATTCAATCAATTTTTTTTTATCTTGAAAGTTGAAATATAAAAGTAATTTACAGTAATCGCTGTTGACGGAAAAGCAAAATATGCATAAAAATACTTGAACAAAAGCTTAAACTTTACAAATGCATTTTATCCAAAAGTTTGAAGTGTAAACTATTGTCAATAATTTTTAATTTACTAAATTTTTAAAAACTTGCTTTATATTTTTGACCTGATTTAATAGCATTGCGTGCTATCTTGGTATGTGTGTATTGATATGTGTTATTTTACTTGTCTGCGTAAATGCGATTGCGTTTCTTAATTTCCGGCCTAAATGTGGAGCCATAATACAGCCAAAATCAGGCCAGACAAAATTATGGCCTGAAAAATGTATGGCCCTGTACCGGTGAAATTTGGTTGAAAATGTCACGTTTGAGACACGCCGTGTATCGCTGGTGTATCGTCATGCTCATTATCGCTCATGCCTCGTCCAATGTCTCGCTCGAAAATGTCATGTTTGAGACACGCCGTGTATCGCTGGTGTATCGTCACGCTCATTATCGCTCATGTCTCGCTCAAAAATGTCACGTTTGAGACACGCCGTGTATCGCTGGTGTATCGTCACGCTCATTATCGCTCATGTCTCGCTCAATTTTATGGCCCGAATATCGCTCATGTCACGCCATGATTTTCGGTACGGGTTAGTGCCACCAATCCAATCATGTTTCATGTCAAGACATGTCAGACACATGATAACCAACTAAATTATGGTATTGAATATCTTGGGCTTCAAAAAGTTAATTTTTAAGCTAAATAGCTAATGAAAAGACATTCAGGTGGTGCCTGCAATGGTCAGGGCTGGCATTTAACTTAACCTTCCTTGATGCACACAAACACAGCCTCAGATCATATTCGACATGAAGCATGCAGCTTGGTATCAGAGCTACTTCCCTGAATATAAGCAGGCTCTAACACACCTATCAATGTTAGCTTGTCAGAGGGAGAGGGTGGATTAAAGGTGACATGGTATTTGATATAAAGGTTAGTCTTGTGAGTGGGGGATTTGACAAGCAGTACAACCCCAGGGGTGGGGATATTTGACAAATTAAGAATATGTAGATTTGGTAACCAAGGTCCTGGGTACGAGCCCTGGGTAAGTCCTTGAGTTGACTAAAATATCAAAATAATATACATATATGCCTCTGCAGAGAAGAGAGACCCACATGTGCTTTGATCTTAATTATAAATAAAAAAACATTGCTTAAAAGTTCAAACACGCTGTGAGTTGAATTCCATTAAAGATATAAATGCATCACTGAAAAATTAAAACCATCAAACTGTTTGTGGCTGTTTCCTGTGCATGTTACAGATACAGATATTTCACAGCACACTCCCTATATCAGGGCTTTTCAGTGACTGGTTACATTGTGAATAGATAGATAGAACCGGACTGATGTGAAGCAGACCAAGGTAGACTTTGAGCTTACAAATGGCGCTTGAGCAGCTGCCGCTATTAGTCCATACCTCATTAATGATCTGCCTCCAGACCTATGTGCCTAACCCACCCTGTCAACTTTCCCTGTGGGAGGAAACACGGAGTGCCCGGAGAAAACCCACAGCTTTCGGCGGAGCGTTGACTTTTTTTACTCTTTTCACATGAAGACTGGGTTCGAGTCACCTTGAGAAGTTCTCACTCAGATTCGAACCTGCAACCCTAGAGGTGAAAGGCAAGTGCGCTAACCACTTGGCCACCGAATAACCACTTGGCCACAATAACCACTTGGCCACAGTAATAAAAACTAACCACTTGGCCACAATAATAAAAATTTAAATATTTAATGGGGAATTTTCTAGGAAACGTTAATCACATAAAACCAGTGCCGTAGCAAGCTCGATAATTGGGGGGGGGGGCAGATATTCATATATGTGTGTTCACAGACCATAAAAACAATTGATTTCAAATTAAATTAATAATGCAGAACCCGAATATATGAATATCTGCCCC